AAAATTTTGTTGTGTTTTTTCCCCCCCCCCCCCCCTTCTTCTCTAGACTCTCCTGCATTGGTCTATACCTCTTTTCCAGCCTACTTGTTAACTTGCTACATCTGCAAGTTTCACATCCTCCTAGCTACTGAAGTCATAGGAACAAAATCATTAGTGTTAAAATTCTCGCAATGGGAACCTTATTAAATGGGCTCTACAAATTTTCTTATCTAGATATTTACTATGAAATTTCTTAAAACCATTTGTACAAAATAAACTGCTCACATCAATTTCGCTAGGAAAGAATAATCAACCTACCTTCACTGCTGCACCTCTGTCCTCAAAATGAACAAAAGCATAATCCTTCAACTTCTTTACTCTTTCCAGCTTTCCAAATTCAGAAAAGGATTTCTCAAGGATTTCTTCTGTCACAGTAGTGGCCAAGTTTCTTACAAATAAAACTTTCACCTGGTAAAAAAATAAGAATGAAAGCTGTAATCTTTAAAAGTCAAACCTCAAAGGGAACTAACAAACTAGTAAGATGTTATTCCCTTCTTCTCTGCCTTAAGAAATTTTGGGTAACCTTGTAAATTCTGTACCTGTTTAAAAAAAAAAAAAAAAAAACAACAAAAACCACCCACACAACCAACCAACAAAAAAAGCCTTGTAGTTACCTGTATGAAGTTTCTACAACTTCTCTCCTTCCACAGTTCCCTTCCATGACCAGAAGGATATCCAGCTTTGATTTTCTGCTTCTGGGATGCTACAAATCCCAGTAAAATTTTCATAATAGGCCTCAAGAGTAGCAAAGAGTTATCCCAAAACGCAGGGATAAAGAGCACATCATTCCCTACACTGAACTTCACCTTCATCTCACTCTGGAAAATAGTTTTATAAAATACCCACCTAGCATTCACTATCAGCAGAAGCAGATAATGAACAGACTGATGTGCCAATCCAGCAGGAGAACCCTGTACACTACTAGTTTAAATGTGAACGGTAGGTTAAAACAGCATGTTCCCAATGTCTTAAAATGGCAACTAATCTGCAGTGCTCAGACCATGCCAGTTCACATGGCTTACTATGAAAATCTAACTGCTTTTTGTGCCTCAAAACTAGCACTGCTCAGCTGGAGCAAATCTTGGTCACTATAGCATAAAGAAATTCCTCCCAAAGCACAAGAACATCCAGTTAAGTTTTAATTTACCTTTGCCATGACTTCTGGGTCAGGTTCCTCTACTGGATCAGCCCATTCCACTGTCACAACATTTCCCCAGACTTTTACTTTCCCACTCATCAGGCGGCGGCGAGCTTGTGCTGCTGACTTGTGATCCTCATATTCCAAGAAGCAGAAACCTCGATTCTTCTTCTTATCATCAGGTTGATGATACAAGATTACATCCACCAAACCCTCTGAAAAACACGTCTTTAGTATTAAGCTTCAAAAGGAAAGAAAAAAAAAAAAATCTACAGTTTACTCTAAAATGCCTTCACTTGTTTTTTGTAATACACAGCCTTTGAATTTAACACCTGAAAGGGGAAGGGAGCACAAGAAAAGCAAAACAAGTAACAGATATCCATCCAATTTACCCAGAAACAGGTCACCTAGCAGGTGAAATTCTCCTGAACAAACTTACCTCACAATTAGGCCCTGCAAAACATCAACCTGAACAGTTCACACAGTGTTAGTTTTCTATATTTTGTGTTACAATTTTTACATTTTAAAGCAGTGAGCATTAATACGTGGCATCTTCCCTGCCTCGAGGGGAAGCTGGAAAGAATTTCTTTCACATCTCTCCAAAAAGAGAAGAGGCAACTAAACGAGTATTCACCTTCTGCTTTCACCACTTCCCTGAAGTACTTATAAATAGCAATCCTAAAAAAGAAGCAGTAGGTTAAAACTCTCCTACAGGAACAAGACCAGGCGATCAAGACCTCAATCTCTTATTTAAAGCAGAAGCATCTTTTCTTCCTACTTGCTGCATATACTGGGAACAACACTGAAGAACTGGGACAGAAATTAATCTGTCATTAGCTATTTCTACAGTACCATTCCCTCTAAACTGATTTAGTATTCCCTCCTCCCCATCATTCCTCAACAATACATCTGTTTGAGACTCCCCAAAAACTTCTCAGTTGTGAATGCAGAATCTACTGTAGATAGTTACAAATACAGAGTTTTCAAGAGGAAGCTAGAACAGGTAATAGAATTAGGACCTTCACTTTTTTCTGAGTTCATTTGTGCTGTATCCATCTCAAATTGTAAACCTACAACATCATTCATTTAACAATCAGTAAAACAGACACTAGTCCCTTTACACTCCACCATAAAATATATTTGATATATAAAATTTATACCAGAAACAAACTTGGAATCCAACTTGGAAATAGTTTAAATGATAGCTGAACGCATCTGTCAAGTAACTAGACCTACAAAACAGAGAGACTGAATAGCATTTTGGGATCACTGTGAAAAACTCATTAAGGAGGTCTTACCTGTGACTTTACTGAACTCTTCCAATATGTTTTCCTTAGTCTTGTTCTTTGGAATTGACCCAACAAATAACCTGTTGTTTGCCACAGAGATGCATACTCCAAGGTGCTTCCCAGGACGGATTTCATAGTTGTCACACTGAGAAAATAAAAAGCCATTCATTTGCTTTATCCACAATAATATGGATAAAAAGATTCCCCAAAATCATAGAATCATCTATTTTCTTCGTGATTTGCTACTTTTACACGTAGCATATTTAATTTGCATTGCAAGAGAATTACTAGAACTGCAGTATTTGAGTCAGCATTCACTTGGAAAAACATTGCCGAGCTTAGGTTTTCCATAGAAACTTCTGAAGTTCTGCTGAACAGAAAGCTACAAAGAAACTGATGCACAAGGAACAATGTGTAACAGATACAAATTGCATGGGGTAAATTCATTCACCTACTGTTCATCTCAAACTTGAAAGATCTTCCTAGACAACTGGTGACTGCTTCCTGTGCTGGGACTCAATGTCAGTCATTGGGGCTGTTATTAATAAGCAAATACATAGCATTATAGATACTATGAGTTCTTCCACTTCACTTTGATAGCTTTTAAACACTGAACATATTTGCTGTGAGATACTCAGAAGTGTGAATCAGTGTGTGACCTTGTTCCCACCACCACCACCTCCCACAACAGGGATTTCTTGGACCTTGTAAATGCTAGGACTCTAAATTTTACTGTTAAGTTTTAAAACTTCCCATTAAAAAAAGTTAGCCTGCTGCTTCATGCTTGTCCCCACAGTTGGATTACTCTGAACACCAACACTCCTGACAGGTCTTTAAAGGTACAAGAGTTCAACCTTTAAAAAAAAAAAAGTAAGAATTCAAGATAGCCATCATCTTTGTTTTAGGTATATTTTCAAACACAACCTAAGAGGATGGATGTTTGATCATCAGCCAGCTTCTGAAAACCTCATCCAACTCTTTAAAAAAGCAAGTTTTCAGCCATTTTTACCCTGAGACGTAGCCATACAGATGACAGAGCAATACCTTCAGTAACCTTCATATTCAAGAACTAGAACAGTGTTAAGGTACCATAAGCTATCAAACAAGATCACTTTAAGGAAGACAAAAACATTTCAGAATTTTGCTTCATGTACAACAGTATTCACCACACAATAAAAATTTGTGTTCCAGTGCCATGAACTTAATCTGAATCTGCTTTTCAAATTATATCTTATCTTACAAAGCCATTTTACATGCAATCAATCCCATTCCCAAGCCGCGGTACCTGCAAACACAAGCAGAAAGCCCACCTGGTGTACAGAAACCAAGACTTCAAAATTTCAAGTTTGTTTTCTGAAAGAACCTCACTTTGCTATCAAGGTTTAATTAGCTCCAAAATGTAGCACGTGTCTGTCCCATTTTCTTTCCCCCCAGTAGTCTGTGGAAAATATTTCACCTAAATATAAGCCTGGCCACATTACCAGATAATAGTAGTGTGGAAGAGGGAAAGGAAGGGAATCCAGATATAGGACTTAAGGAATATATTCACACAAATTCACTTATTTGGTGCAATATCCAGGGTATGGAGGCCAGTCTTCCACCAGCGGCACATCATTTGCTACATCTACTGTCACTTCAGCATTTTCCCTTTCATCTCCCTCAATCAGTAAAAATTTAAAGTAACAATTCTGAGCACCTTCAACTCTGTCAAAAAAAGAAGTTTCAAAACAATTTTTCCTTCGTAAGTGACAGTAACTCATATCCACCATCTTCAAATACTGAAACCCAGAAGCAATCAATTGCAAAAAACATATTTTGTGCATTTCCTTCAGGAAACATCCAAGTACGTTCTAGAAAGGAAAAAGCCTAAGCAGAGACATGCAATTCCCAGCCCTGGAAGGGCCTAACATAACAACTGTGACTATTTCTAAATACATGAAAAAATTTCAGGGAACAAAAACTGGAACATTTGGAAGCAACAACTCCTTCTGAAGCCTTTACAATGCAACAGAAGCAGTTCTTAAGTTTCTCTAGGTTTCATTGTTGTTTGGGTTTTTTTTTCCCTTCCCCCAGCTTAACTAGATGTTTAAGTTCCCTACCACCACCACCTTCTTCATACAGGATCAGCTGAATTCTGCTAAGGCAAATGAGATAAAGCATTTCACCTGTTTTGGTACAAAGTACAAGCAGTATTTCAGAGCCATGTCCAAAATCTTGTGAGATACACATTGAACTTTCTAATTCTACTTCCTCTTCTCAGGCAGAGACAAGGCCAAATGAACCAGGGCCCCAATCAGACTGCTGTCTCTCATTTTAATCCTCTATGGATTGCTCTGTGTCCTTTGCCAAACTGTCTAGATGCAGGCCAAGTCAGGTTTCCATATAGTGAGCAGACTGCATGACTGCCATTGGAAAGAACTAAGGCCACCGTGAACCAAAAAGAGCACCAAGTCAGAGACCTCATGCACACCAGCAGCAGCAAAACAAAACATCTCTAATTAGCTCTTTATAGTAGGAAGGGTGATAAAACTTAAACTCAGTGAAGCTTAAAGAATATATTTCCCAGTCATAATCAAGTAAGCTCTTACTATAATCACTCAAGTACGCTAGCAGACTGCAGTAGGCTATAGCAGACTACAGTTCTATAAAGTAGAACATTATTTGTATATACTAAATCAAATCAGAAGGCAATTTTTAAGAAAATAAAATTTTAAGTCTGTCAATGCATGCTTTAATGAAACACTTCAAAGACTTCATTATCTAAAAGATTACCAACGTACTTGCTGTTTACATTATCTCATCCAGTCTGAAAATAAGTTACTCACCAGTTTGACTGCTTCCTGTGCTGCATCTTTACTACAAAAGGTAATGAAAGCGTAACCTCTGTTTTGACCAGAAAGAGGATCCATCATGAGGCGCAGATCCCAAATTGGACCAGCTTTCTCAAAGAGTGGTACCAATTCATCTTCATACAAGTCTCGGGGAATCTTACCAACAAAAACCTAAAAATGAAGAAGACACTTAAACAAAGCTTTTTCAGAAATCCAAACTCACTTAATACTTGAAAGTTCCTGAGAAAGGAGTACATTGAAGCATAAACCATCACAGCAGAAACACTGTAGTCATCACCGCAGCCTTCACTGCAGCCAATGTTATTCTATGTCCTACTAAGTCTTCTAAATGTCCCACTGTTAGTACCAGGTTTTATATATGGAAAACCTGGTTTTGTTATTTATATTGAAGAGGCTGTAAATTTCCACCACTGAAGAGGTAAACGTTTCTTACCTGGTTGTAATTTTGGCAATTAAAAACAAAGACCTTACAGACTATCTAGCCGGGTATCCTATATTAATGCAGGCCAAGCACTTCCTTGCTCTTGCAGTATTTTCAAATCATTCTGTAACCCAATCTTCATTAGAAAGCTACAGAGACAGAAAAAAAATTCTACAAAAATCCTTAAATCGCCCAATACACATTTTCCACTTTTAATATATACCATAATCTTATTTCTTGTCTGTGCTTGTTTCAGCTTCTACCAACTGAAGGTTTTAATATTTGTCTGAGAAAATCTGCAGTCCTCATTTTTGTTCCTTACACAGAATAATGACAATAAACTTTGTAAAGTTTTGTTAAGGAGTTCAATCTCTTCAGCTGAGATCTTCCTAGAAAGCTTCCCTCCCCAATTTTTTAATCACTGCAGCTCTCCTCTGAATTCTCAAAATCTCTGAATTGCTAATACAAGCAAAATATTCCAAAATCCCATTAAGATCAAATTCTATTTATTTTAGTTTCAAATTTTTTTTGTAGCAAAAGAAGCTAGGATTCATCAACCTTTTCCCTCAAGGCAAGGCCTTGCCATAGTCATATCTGGCACTGAAGGCTTAGCCGGTAATTCCAACACTGAAGACACTCAGAATGTTCATGTAAGCATTGATATGAACAAACCCGTGAGGACAGAATGATGACTCTGATTTTGAAAATGTAGAACACAAATTATTTTCCTCCAAAGGAAAACTAGAACCTTTAGATGTTTCTGTGTGTTATACAGATACTCCTGAAATTCAGTTTCCAGAACATTTCTTTGACTTAGCTTAGCCTCTCTCAGTTCAGTGTGAATGCCAACTATGATTTATTTGCTACTGGGGAAAAAAAGGAACTGATTTATCATACTAAGTGAAACTTTAATGGCAGAGCCAACAGGCCTTCCCTGCCCCCATCTCCCCCAAAAGCTTAGAAACTCCTACAGATAGGTATTTCCATTGTCATTACCCAGAACATTTCATTCTAAAATCCATGTGCAGTTTTAAAGACAAAAAACTGACACCATCATGGAAATGCACAAGACAACTTGCTACTAAGACAGTGAAACTGTCAGCTGAACTCTCCACAAACTGTAACTGGTTTTAAGTCAATCAAATGTAAAAAGTCTGCATTAAATTCCGTTTCATATGCCACCACTTCCAGCTGAAACTGAAGGTGACACACCAGAACACAAGACTTGAGGAGAGGAAAAAACCCTAATCCAAATACAAACAAAGTCTACTTTTCCAGCTATTTACCAAAGATTTACCATCCTGAAAGCTTCTGTATCCTTCTTTCTTTCCAGTCTCTTCGGCTCACTCTCTACAAACTTTAGACCACCGACAATTCCACAAGACTGCTACTACAGTTCAGTTCAGGTAATACACTCTAGGAGCTAGTATGAGAAACAGAATTAAGGATTTAATTTGAATACATTCACATCTGACCTATATTCTAGAGTAACTTCCATCCATACTGGAAGGACTAGATAACTCTGTGGGAGTAATTCACATCTAAGTGAATTTGCTTTGAGCCTGTAACCTTAATATGTTAATGAACTACAAGATCAATACTAGACATGACAAACAGCAGGTGAACATCTTGCAACGGACAGAAGAAACATCTGCAATAACTTTTTTTAGATATGTTAATTAGCTTGAATAAAGTTGCTGAAATAAGAAATAATGTAAATATCAGATGTCTTATTTCATTTTTTAGTTCCACAACAAGAGTACAGTGGAAAAACTTTGGAAACTGGCACAATCAGTGAAACAATATAAGAGATCTTGAGCAGGTAAGATGCAACCACATCACTTCTGGGCCTTTGTTGGAATTGCTGACCATTAGACTTACTTTTTCCAGTTTTGCTTCCTAAAGAACGTGTACAAAGTACTCCATTTTACTTCTTCCTTAACACTGTTTTAGAAGATGAATTATGAAAAGCCTTAACTAGGAAAAAAATCGATTTCAGTTTCATGAACAACTTTAGAGAGCATTATTGGGGGTGCAATCCACTTCTGCACTCTAGATGATGCATCCTTCAGTTATTTCAACAACTGAGCCTCTTCTGTTGTCATCACAAGCTAATAGAAGTGTACTGCAGCATTGCAAGAGCTTCTTCAAAACCTCTCTCCTTCCAATAGTGGTTTTCATGTGCTTTGCAGTCAATCTGTCCTAAATGCCAGATTTAAAGTGTTAATTAACATAGGCCGCATGACTGCTTCATCTCATCCAAATCTACAATCTTCATTTAAAAAAAAAAATAATATGGAAGTGGAAAAAAATTCTGACACAATGCAAAAACCTTTGAACCCCCACGGTTCTTCCAGTACAAAAGCAACATTCCATTTGTGTATTAAATCCAACACAAGCTTTGTCTAGTTCAACTCCTGCTGAGTTTATTATATCATTGCTTCTTAAGTTAGAGTTATTACAGCATCTGATTCTTCCCATTCAATTTATTACGGACAAAAGCAGTTTAAATTGCCCCAACATTGTCAGTAACATAACGTTTTCCAGATTGCAAGTTAGCCTCACAAACTTTCTCTGACTTTTTACTACAAATTCTGACCATGCACCCACAGAGGAGCAGATGCAATACCACCTTATCATTCACAGAGCTAAAAGTAATTTTGCATTCTTGATAATGACATTCAGAGATTATGTTTATCATATACTTATCCAATAAATCTCAGCTCTGAAAAGGACATGTAGCAATTCCTCCATTTTATAGTCTAAACTGTTACATAGATATCTAAGCTTGCACATCATCTGAGCACATCACAGGCAAATGATCTATTTACAGAATTTTCAAGTTTTTATTTTACATCACTGAAAAACACTGAAATAGAAGTCTCTCAAAACTTTAGGAGTAGAACTTACTTTACCTGGAGACCGCTCTTATAAAACTGAAACCAATCCAGCAATCAGTACAGACTTAAGTCAATAACTTTCTTCATGCTAGCTGCACTGTGCTAATTTTGAAAAGTGCTTTCCCCCATCCCTATTATAGTGGGGTAAAGGGCTTGTATTTTACAGTTACCAATGAAGCCTCCTGTTCTTCAAATCATGCCTTAAAGGGTACTATATTAATTTACACCAAGAGGTGAAAGACGGAAATCAAGTACCACACCAGTCACCACCTCAATTTTTGGTGTAACAGTCTGGACAGGCCATAGGCATGTCAGGTATTTTTTTTTCCCTCCTCTAAAGAAAAAAAAGAACAAAACAAAACAAAAATCCTTCAATTTTCCTCAATTTAACAACTCAAAGCTCCTCAGTCACCAGACTGAAGATACGAGTGAAAAATATGTATTTTAACCTGTTCAGCAAATACAGCTCAACTTCATTAGATATTACCCACAAATGCAGACACTACAGATATGATGTTGGATTTACTATCCAGCATTATCCAACCGAAACACTGAATGCTTGTCTTGTTTGCATGCAAGCTTCATCATGCCTGACTAGCAGTGGACTTAGGACTAAATTCCTTTTGCTCCCCATACACTTAAAGTCCTCCTTGTTGTGACTGAATTTAATGAAATATTTATAACCTTGTCTTTCCTTGTCTTGTCTGCACTTAATTTCAGAAGTTACTGAAATTGCTATGTAGATGTTACTACTGCCTATGCGTCCTCCAATGTTGCTGAGCAACTGGTTTATTTTAAACCACAATTAGACAACTTAAAGTAGTTTTGTGTAGAAAAGAAAAAAAGGAATTTAAGAATACAAAAACAATTCTTTTTTCAGCACTGCTTGCATATACACTTTAGTAAAATGATAAACTACAATTAGCATAGAGCAAGCGTACTTAAGCAAAGCTTGAGAAGTTATGCAAATCATCAGTTACTGTCTTCCAGTTCAAGGACCCATTCTAATAATTGCCCCCTGCCAAGGAATTTATTTTTCTTCATGGAATATGAATACTCCCTTTAGAAATCATCCTTACTGTGACCCTTCTAAGCATCTTCTTGACAGCATACACAAAAGCTTCAGCATCTCAAAGGGTGCAAAACTAATCTATAAGCTGAAAGACATTCAAGAAATTGACCATTTTCTTAAATCTAATCTGGTGGTTTATAGAAGAATCTCCAAAAGAACTCCTGTATCAAAGACTAGTCACGACAGTGTGATTAAGAGCGTTCAGAGTGTTTAGAATAAACTACAAAACAACCTGCTAGGGACCAAAACCTTGCAGAATAGGTAAGTGAGGAAATACACAGCTCAAGCATTTTCATAACCAAACTAAAGTTTGCTCATAGCTTACTAGCAAGATGCACAAGTTCAAACATGACCTCGAATTTCCACATATGCTTACTGACTAGACTTTGTCCTTCAGGGGAGAAAAAAAAAAGTGTGTGTGTATACATATTTTTTTATATATATATATAAAAAATTCTTTAAAACTCTTCCAACCATCTTTATACATGTGTATATATACACATATACACGTATATATATACACCTGTGTATATATATACCTGTGTATATATATATATATATATATTTTTATATATATATAAAAAATTCTTTAGAACTCTTCCGACCATCTTTAACTTTAAAAAGAACAGCTGGTGTAACAGGGAATAAGAAAACACAGAGAAAAAGACCTTAGAAATTTTAATCAAAACAAAGGAGCACTGTACAAGCCCCTTGAGGATAAGCAGTTATCAATGTCTGCAGATGCAAAGGACAAAGCCAGTGTAAGGAGAGCAGGAAACACCCAAATAATTGTTTCCATTCTTACCCAATAAACACTCCCATAAACTTCTCCAAGCATCAACATCATGTGACCTCACTATAAGCAAAATGCTTTACATGGGAGGAGCAAATCCTTAAATAAAATGAATACTCAAGTTTAATATCAAAACCTATTGCAATTATTTTCTCCTCCAAGCTTCTGCACAGCTGTAACTACTTTGTCTTTATTACAGAATCACATTCCAAAAAGGTCCAGCTGCTCTTAAAGCCCACCCACTTGAAAAAAAATACATTGGACAGTTTCACCCACATAATCCTTTCAGCACAGTGTTCACTGTGACAATTTGTAAATGTTCAACATGCTGAACATCCATAAATTTACATATCAATACTGTAGTTTTACTGCACAATGTTCAAGTACATACTGAAAGAGGGTTAAAGCTGCAGTTAACATGTAATGAATTCCACTTTGTGTTTTAAAAAGACACATTAGTTGGTGTACAAATATTTACAGCAGAAAGATCTGATACATCTTCAGGGAAAAAATTCCACATAGTACATATCTTCTTGAAATCAATAACAGTACTTGGGTATCCTTAAAAAACAGAAGTTTGCCATTACTGACATCAATGACAGCTCTGGCATCAACATACCTGAGCTGGCACAAGCTGAGAGCTTCAGTATTTAAGTAAGTTTCAAACACAAAAGATTCACTGCTGCAATCCAAAGGGATACATCTTGTGTTTTTTTCATATTTTTACCCACAGTATTAGAAAAGAGGCATTTACATTCCTATATAACCAGAACTATTGTGGACAAAAGAAATGGTTCTCAAAAGCTTAAAAAAAAAACCAAACAAACAAAAACCAAACACACTCACCTCATTTTGGGAAAAAAAAGTGCGACAATAATCTCCAGCCACTTGTGTTCAAACATACTCTGCCTAGTCTACCAGATCATAAGATCATGTTTAAGTTGATTACTATGCCTCAGACCTCAACAGCAAGAGCTAAAGACTAAATTTAATAGAGCATATACCAGTTTCAACAAGGTGTTCAGCATCTCAGCCAGTCAAACCAAGCAGCATGTCTAAAGCAATAATCAGTCTTTAAATCCCAGAAAATGCCAGCAATAAATTAATTTGGTAGAGGTATGGTTTCTATAAGTAGTTGGGTAGGTATTGTTACAACCTCTAATGCTGGATTCGTGGCAGAAGCATTTATGTTCTTATCTTAAGGGAGTTTCCACAAGTTACCCATTCTAGCAAGCTTCAGGAAACTTAAAAGTATAAAAACATACTCTTAATAGTATTAAAGCAAAGCCAACTTCACTGGTTTCCTATGACTGCCTAAAGAGGCTAACCATCACCAATAGGACAAAATACTTAAGATGAGTCAAGTATTTTCAGTCATGAATAGAACGGTTCAGTTCAAAGGGATCTACAACAATCATCTAGTCCAACTGCCTGACCACTTCAGTGCTGACCAGAAGCTAAAGCATGTTATTAAGGGCATCATCCAAATGCCTCTTAAACACTGACAGGCTTGGGGCATCAACCACTGCTCCAAGAAGCCTGTTCCAGTGTTTGACCACCCTCTCAGTAAAGAAATGTTTCCTAATGTCAGTGAAGCATGGTGCAATTAAATAAAACTATATACCATCATATAATCACCCTGGCAACACCACCAAGTTGGTAAACAACTTTTAAGCCACCTTTCTGAATGCAGAAATGCAAAAATTTACAAAAGAAAACAAGCTACATGGACTCTTTCAGTGCAGTACTTCCACTGTCAGTCCATGCAAGCATCAAGGATGTTTTCAGGTAGATTGAAACAAAAGCAACAAACAATTCCTTAATAATTACTAACCTCAGCTGTCCTCTTCAAAACTCTGTATGTGAGTATCTTTACACAATACACAAGTCTTTTTCACTTTCAGCACTTTGCATTAAATAAACTTTGCTACTGTCACTTAAATACCATTTATGTTGTAAACAGAATCAAGTACCTTTGAGTCACACTTTTACCTATCTATAGAGCTAATACCCACATGGTCACTTTTTAAGTGATGGACCATAAGCTCTAGGGTGGACCATGAAGTCTGAGAATTTAATGATCTATTTTACATTTTAAGAAATTTTACATAGTCTTTACTAGTGTATTACACCTGCTTTTTCCCCCACAACCTATTATCCTGTCTTTTGCAGAATACTGAGAGATAAGAAAGACTAAGACACACATAGAAGAATGCTTTCCTCTACAATACTTGAAACTTTCACTTGTAATATAGTTTATTTTCAAGGATTTCTTATTTATCAGTTTGCACAAACACACAATTAGATTCATCTGTATATACTAACCTCTGTTCCAATACCAGGCTGAACACCAGAATATACAGTATCTGGAGGAGGGCCCCCATACTTCCTCTGTCCGGTAGTTACATCCAAAGTGTAGCCAGTCCTCTCTAGCAAAGCCTGTAAAAACCCGTCACATTAGCTACAGGGGGGAGGATAGTGGGTTAAAATATAAAGAATAAAAAAGCGTCCCAAGACAAGCATTTGCTTATCTGCACCTTGCCACATTTGCTAACAAGGTATATATAGACAGACAGAACCTACAAAAAACCCCCGTTATTTTGGAGGTTTAAAAAAGACACCACCTCAAACAGCAACATTTGTTTTACACTGCAAGGTCACTGGAAAGAACGAATTTTTCTTTTCCCTTATTTTACATTTTGTATGTAGTACCCCAAGAACTCCAGAACACCAGACAATTCTTTTCACCCACTCTGTACTTGGGTGTTTGCACAACAGAAGAGTTACTTAATATACTAATACCTTGCTGAAATACCCAATCAGTCTCAAAGTAATTTTATAAGTGCGTAAAAGCTTAAGATAAAAGGACAACTAAGACAATTCTTAAATAGATATCAATGTTTTCATAGACCTTACATAACACCAAGTTCATGCATTTTTGCCAATTGTGTCATCAGGAATATCTGCATTTCAAACAAGCACTCCCTCTTTTGAATCTCTATCATGTGTACATTTCTTTAAAGCTAAGTGTAAATATACTTATCCAGGTAGTATTGATACTTTTTAAGGACATCCAAAATTACTTCAGTCTGTGTACAGGTAATATACCAGATACTACAGAGTAATCAGTATTTTCTAAATGTTACCTTAATCTTTGCTTCATCTGGTCCCTTCGTTGATTCCTGTACTTTGCTGCCTTGTTTCTCTCTTTGCCTGTAGGTCTTCATAACTCCACATAAAAATGCACTTTTGTTCTGTAGATACAATTTACAAAATAATTCAATTGTGTGTACGACAAGCCCTGGGAATCCACCGAATCTTACACTCCACACCGTGAGGTCACTATACCAAGCCAATGCAATAAACAAAAATGTCAAAAGAATCCTTTACAAAAATATAACAAGTAATTGAACAAACTTGTCAGACTGAAAAAATCATCAGATTCCAGACAGTATTTTTACCTTATTTTCTCAATTGCACATTCATTTTTATTATCTGGGAGCTTTTGCTTTGCACTCAAATACCTACACATATAAGGCAATTTTTAACAGGCTTGTGATTTGGATTTGAAATATAAGAACACAGCAACATCAAAGAATTTATTTCCAAGTTACAACTCTCCTGCCAATAGTGCCAGAACACTTTTTATACTTATGTGCTCAGACTCCTGGAGCTCTCACCTTACCTGTACATGCGACAGGTCACTTTCTTTAAACTGCTGTAATACAGAGAGGGCTCCTTCTTCATTAAATTCCCTAAGAGCATCAATTGCTCTTTCATCAAGATCGACATAAGCTACCAACCCTAAAAGTTAAAGATAAAGAAGTTACAGGTTTTCTACTGAATTTTATACAAACTAAGAACTATGCAGTTTGCTTTTAAAGTCAAAAAGTTACGTTCCATAGCAACAGAATTATACATTTAATATAATTACATATTCCTACACAAGTATATGAAAGAACATGAGTACAACAATGAAAAAAGTTAAATTAAAATGTATATACCTAAGCACTAACTGATGTGCAAGATTATACCCCATGTGTAAACAGTTTTCTAACATTCAAGAAGCCAATCTGCTGCATAAAAGCAGTATTACACACCAGGGTTTGAAACAATGAACTCTGGCTCACTTCTAATAATTTGGATTTTGTTTGTTTGTCTTTCGTTTTAAGCTTCACACTTCTCTTGAATGGAGCTATTCTAGAGTAAGCTGACTTGAACATTACAGGTATCCTATTGTACCTGGAAAAGGAGCTACTTAACTGATGAACAAATACTTAGGAAGCTCTACCCCACAAAATATTAGGAAGTAGAATGGTTTGTTCACTCTTTCCTCCAACTTCAAAAAGCAAAAATCAGTGGACTACCTATATGTCTAAATTATTCTTTTTAAACTCATTTTGTTGCTCTATGCAGTTCCAAAAGCCAGAATTCAAAAAGGTATTATTTCGAGCCCTGCTATGTACCCGAAAAGGCTAATGTTAATTTCACAGGTACAGACTCCCCCAAGAAACACTGGACCAGTTCTGAAGCACTTTTTCTTTTTAAGGATCTTTACAGGTTATTTCTTTGCTTTTGTAATGCATTTGCATAAGCTGTGGAGCATGAAAGTATAGATTTTAAGATTTGCACTTTTTAAACGACACAGCAAAATTTAGGACAGATACCAAGAACTCCACACACTTTGCAACAGCTTGATCTCCAAAATACAGATTATTTAACTGCTACTTAATTTGAAAAATGCACAGTAGTGCCAAGCCCAAGGACTACATTTCAGAAGTGATCCTGCATATTGGAAGGCACCTGTATCTTTCATATAAGACCTCAGCAGATTAAAAATCCCTAAATTCAAGCCCAAATTTAGCTCGGGTGTCAAAAGTAGTTTGCTTCACTGACAAACCCCTGCACAATGCAAACATCTTCAGTGGCATTAAGGAAGTGTGATTAAATGTTTTCAGGTTACTCATGCAGTGGAATTATACTAGATAGTCAGGTTCTGGGCTGAAAAGCTTTTAAATCGCTTGAGAACTCCTCACAACGCAGCCTAACTGCAACACGTTAGAGCCCCACAAGTTCCTCTGCCCAGGCATTTACACCTTCTCTCAAACCATCAAGTGCACATCATCGTGACCCACAGTTAGAAAGTGCATGTCTAAAGCCAATAAAAGCTGGTAAAGGCTTGATGAAAGCTCACTGTGAATGACTTCCAAAAGACATCACCCACGTGAGCCAGAGTATCATACTGAAGATTGGTCAGGTATTGTTTTTGAACTGCCTTCACTTGATCAGTGGAATTTTGACTCTTTTCAACAAAAACTGTCATCTTGCCACCAAGGCATTCAAGATCAGCACACAGAGCAGTTCTACTGCTTCTTGTAAATCTGTTCACAGAACACACTCTAAAGAGGAAAAGGAAGCCTCTGTCTATAGGACAAAATAAGGGGGTTACAAAAACAAAATAGAAAAACCTTTGTATATAAAGAAACCTCTCTAGAAGTTGCAGAGAGCACTTGCTACCAGCAAGGTATTACTCAATTTGCTAGATAGCTTAGTCCTCAACTTTGTTGAAAAGCGGTTAATGTCAAACTGAACATTTCGGTGTAATAACCAGCATGGATTAAACTGTCCACTCAGAACTAGAGAGAACAAAAAATCCACAGGCAGACTCAATTCAAATGTAGTCCCAGGCAAGACAAGCTAGTTGCTTCCCTTGCTAAGTCACCTATCCAGCTTCTGAGTGTTTAAGAACCACTGTGAGGAGTTGACAGTAGAAAAGTAAAAGCAAAATGATGATTCGGATTGAAGAAAAAAAATATGTACAGTTTAGTATGCTCAAACATACATCTTTATTTGACAACATCTAAGAAACTAGTGCTCTGTGCCCTAAAGCAACTAAGATATCACATACAACACTAAGGATGTGTCAAGTAATTAGTCAATGTCAAACCCAATTTGCCTTTAGGGAAGTCAAAGTAGCAAAACATTCAGAGCTACACAGATCAAAAACAACAAATTTTTAAACCTTAATCTATAAAAATTTGAAAATGGTATGCCCTCACTTTCATAACCAATCAGAAACAAGAAATGCATATTATACCTGTCTGAAATATTTCATCAAGTCTCTCTGCCACCTTCTGTGGGAGGCCTGCCTCTATCAGTGTCTTGTAGTGTTCTGTGTGAGTTACACTGGAAGTATCCATTGGTTCTTCCTCTTCTTTTAACTGTACCGCATTACCATTCACCTGATTAGCCATTTTATTATGCTGCTGGAAAAAATTCAGGAGCTATATTACAATAAGCCAGAAATAACTAGTTTGTAGGACAATGCATGATTTATCTAAACTAATTTGTATACATGCTGCAAATGACCTGTATCAAAAGTTTTATTTAATACTTTTTGGATGCAGCTGATCTAAGTTTCAAAAGAAAGTACAACCCTTAATACTGTGGAAAATGTACATGGAAGAATTTACATAATTTTTTTTAAAAATGTACTTCATGTACATAACGATGTCTAAACTTTATCTGCTGATTGTCAGTAAGTTAACTGGTTACCATAGCAGCTAAAATGTACGGGGATACAATAATAACATCCTTCAACGAAGAATCAGAAGAGCTAGTGCTATTTTCATTTCCCATTCCTCTACTTTTAAAACAATTGTTTAAAATGTAGTGAACACATAACCCTGCAGGGTAGCGTAATGTATAAAAATGTCAATACTTGTTTGCTAATTTTCACTTTCTTGCCTTGTTGCCATGTCTTCCTTCAAACCCAACATGCTGCATAAGAGTAGCCAAATACTTTCTCACAACACTGTCAGAACCCAGTAAGGATAGAAAGAGAAAAAATGCACTCTAACGCACATTATGATTTGAAGCTGCAACTGAACTGTTTCCACACTTTTGGTTTTACTCAAATAGGAGCTCTACAAATCACAGCTACTTTTTTTATAATATATAATTTATTGGTTTAAAAGGAAGCCATGACTGCAGCATCTTCAGTTCTTATATTAATAAAAAGACTTGCTTTCAGAATTAACAAACTGATTCCAAATATGCGCACTGAAAAATACACAACTACAGCCTCAGACAATTCCAGTGGGCTTTGCCAAATTCATTAAAAACAGTTTCAATTTCTCAATTAGCCAGCCAGCTGATATTTAGTAGTCTCAAATAAAAAGGCTGACGAGACAATTCAACTACCCAGCAGAGAACATTAGGATGATCAGCTGTTAAGTCCAGAAATGAAATGAGCCTTGGGCTTTAAAAGATAGGGAAGAAGTCGATGATCAGCAGTGAAATGATAACCAGATAGACATATGCAGCATGGTCAGAGCAATGCAATTAAGTACTGGAATACAGATATGAAGATGATTCAAGAACAGTTGTTTTTTTTTAAAAAACGCTGAAGCCTCAAGCTATTTACTATGCTGCAAAACGAGTCTCCAAACATAACCACACCTCTAACAGTCACTTGTACACCCATCCCTTCTAGACTACAGCTCATGAACTTTTTGGAAGATATCCTAAGAAGATTTGCAAGCTTGAGCAACAAAAAAAAAAAAAAAAAAAAATCATTTTTCTTCAGACAGAAAAGTAATGATTTTACTAAAGCTGTCTTGACTTGAAGGACAATTTTAGAGATATGTAATGCAGCCTCACATTGTTTCTCTGTCAGATGCCACTTCTTTATGCAATTAGTGAGGAAAAGAAAGGAAGTTTTCTGTAGCTACATAGCACATATAAATGTACACACACATTCTGTTACTTGATGAAGAGGAACTGCTTTCTAACCCATTCAGTTTACTTAAAAGCAACCGTGACTATAGGCTAATTACAGAAGAAAAAAAATGCTACCTGAAGACTACAATACCGCTTACCTATTATTACAGGTATTAACTGAACTCTCAAAATACTAACTGAACGTGAAGTTTCTACAGGTTACAAAAATCATGGAAAACGAATCAGCTAGATGTCTGCTTGCTAGATAGCCTCTGCAAGATCTCAAATTTGAAACAGTGCAGGGCAGGGCAGAGGGTGCTTAGTTAAGCTTAAAGTGCTTTAGGTACCGTATCATTCTCAATCCCTCTTCTCAAAAATGCAGAGGATGATATACACAAAAGAGATACATGGAGGGAGTTATTTTTGTGTTCACCTTTTTACTGCCTTATATCTTTCACCTAGAATTCCTGCACCTCAAGAGTTACACATATATTGTCTTCTCTGTACACAGCAAAAAAAAAAAATCTACTACCAAGAACTGTGAGGCTAAGCCAATACATAAATACGGAAAAGTTATTTAAAACAATTACAAGTACCTAAACTTTAATGGCTTATGGTGATGCTCCTGGACATTTTTTTTGTGAACCCAGATCAGCTTTCAAATGTCATGTACGCAGAAGTTTAGCACTGTTCTCAGTGTTGCCTAACTGAACAAAAGGTTGACAGCTATTCCGTGTTGAGGCAGAAACTCATCTGCAGTTCACTAACTCCTGACAGGCAAGATTTGCAGCCTAACGGCATGAAAAGCTATCTACCTTTATCACAAACACACACCAGTGTGTGGAGCAATATCTAACCCCTAAGTATCAGATTACTACACAGCACCACAGTTGATCAAATGCTTTTTTAAGTAGACTTTTAGACAACATAAATTAAGTCTCAGCATTTTAACTCACTAGCTGTACGGTTTATTTTTCCTTAATAATTAGTATCCTCATAAAGAACTTAAGTCAAATGCAGTGCACATTCACCAGCCAAAAAAGTTCAGTTTGGGTGTTCAAATCTTAGCTATTTCCTGTCACACAAACTTAATTTAAAAGACTTTCTTAAAGAAATTTACTCTGGAAAATTTTGAAGTGACACAGTTGTCAAAATATTCAGGTCCTGACAGCATCCAGAAGAAATATATTTCTTTTCACAGTTATAGTAGAGATTCCCTGCTGGCTTTGCAGGCTTGGCCTGAAATCTAAGATTAGACTGACTTTTCTTCCTGAATGATCACCAACAAGCAAAACTACATCTCTTACAATACTGAATCTGCACTTTGAGTTCAGCAGAGATACGTGGGTGAAAGTCACAGCTGAAAAAGATCATTTAGCTCTCCCTCTAGATAACATCAACTAGATGTAGCTATCAAGAAAAATATTTTTTAACTGAAGTTTATCAGTAAGGAAAACACACAATGATTTTATTAGCACTTTTGTTCTCCTCTAAGAAAATATTGAAACTATTAAAAGCATATTAAAGAGGAGCAATATCTACATTTGCATGCGCAGTGTGTCCACGTGACTCAGCCTATGACAGGCTGGGCCACAGAGAAGAGCAGCCACACGCACTCAAGAGTTTTTCATCTGCATTAAGTAACTCAAGTATCTAGAAAAGAGGGAGACTGGTTGAATCAAAAAGATTTTAAGTGTGGATTGTAAGTAAAGGATTATGTATATTAGTATGTGTGGGATATGTATTTGTTTTTAAAACATGCAGAAATGGATGAATTTAAAACAGTGTCCACAAAAACGTGCTTACCAAATGAGCAGGAGTAATAAATACACATTGGGGGCAACTTTACATAGGCAAGGAGAATTTCCACTGGTACCCAAGAGGTTACCTAGCTTTACCACCTCAGAACTGTGTGTACAGGAAGGGAAGGATTGTCTTATTTCAAACCTCACACTGTTGTTGCCAGCAATGTTTTTCTGAAGACCATGAATACTTCATGAAATAAAACATGTTTTTAGCCATCCACTATCTTTCCCCTAGAACTCCTGCATCTCAAAAGAGTAATTTGCAAAGTGACTAGTCCCTTTTTTTAAGCTCTAATCATATGACTAGTAGGCGGTTAAAGCTACAGGTGCTTCTAAATTACCCAGAAACAACCTTCTTTTTCATGTTCAGTAACTCAAATGGCTCAAATAGTAGTTTTCCTAGAAAAAAAATTAACACACAACTGAGCCTGATAGCGTATGGCATGTTGAAAACAGAAACTTGATCTCAGCCTCAATCCGACAGTCACTGGTTAAACAGCCATGATGTTACTATTCCCTGTATTTTATACCATGCCTCTAACAGAGGTTGCCACCCACAGACTATCTAAGTATAACTCCATCCAATTAATTATAAATTCACAGTCTAGTTAACTCAAAACATGCTTAGTAACAGCTTAAATGAGAAGGAATGGCAATTTCTGGCAAAGGGACAATATCTCAAACTACCATAACCAACTTCACAGTGATTATACATCAATACTGTTTTCAGCCTTCTGCTATGTAACTTTTGATTTCACGTAGGAACTAAGCTTGTTTAGCTCAGGTGCACAGCAAGTATAACTAATTCATACATAAAAACTCCACACCAAGGTCATTCAACTTGCTTATGTTACTATTCCTTCTATCCAATATATTACCTGTGTCAAGCATGTAAGTTATACCATATTAAAAACAGCATTGAGGGGAAGTTTTTGAGGGTTTTTGTTTGTTTGTTTTGTGGTTGTTTTTTTAATGAACCACAAGAAAACAAGTGTAATCCCTATAGTTATGCCTTACACTTCAAGACAGGAAGATAAGAAACACATGAGCGAGGGCAAGATAAGAACTTACATTAAAAGACTGAACTGGGGCTTTATTAAAGCCTCACTTGTTCACAAACATTACTGGCACACCCCTTTTACATGAAGGCATTATAGCCATTTCTTTTGTACCATGGCTTATTCAATCACAGAAGGTACATCTTAATAGCTTAATTATTATATACTACATGTTTATTAGCATGAATTACAAGAAGACTTGTTTCAAAGTTATCACACCCTGAAGACCTTTACACATTAGGCAGGTTTCCATACCAGCATTTCAGTGGCAGACTATCTACAACAAAATATAGTTAGCACCCTCACCCCTCCAGCACAGAGTTCTCAGCCTTTCCCACTCCATAACCCCATGGAATGAAAAAATCTGAGAACCTCCATCATGATGCTAAGCAAGAGACTAGCACTGCCCGTACAGAAACTATGCTTCAGTATCTACACAAGCGTCATTGGGAGATGACTTTACCACAACAGGTTAGCAAGGTGCACCTCAGTGCCACCAAAATACAACACTGACTGCATCAGCAGCTACTACATTTTGCTAACCTGAACTACAAAGTCTCTACATGCTCGTTTCTAACTGGAGTTGGCCATTCATAGCTCCTCTGGTTGTTTGGGTTGTACAGACCAACATTTGTGGCACTCCAGTCCAAAGCAACACTTCAACAAAAATGAGCTTTGTTCTGACAAATTTATCCTCAAAGAATTTTTCAGATCTTTGCCTAAGAAAGCAGGGAGTACTGCTTTTTTTAGACAAAACTAGTAAGTTGAGTGTTAGCAGGAGGCTCGAATATTATTCCAACAGTGTTCACATCTAGACAGAAAAACTGAGAGGTAAGGATATTAAGTACTCATGGGAAATACAGTTTCTGGGATACAAAATTATCAAGCAGACTCTGCTAGTTTGCAAACACCATGGTTTGGATAGGTAAAAAAAGAAAATTACACCGCAAGATGCAGAATTCTGGTTGGATTACCTTTACTTTTAGGAGACGTACAAAATTCAGTGTTAGACAAAGTGTAAAGAAGAGGGGAAAAAAAACAAACAAAAAACCAGCTTCATGAGCATTATTAACATCCTTTGCAGCACAAACTGCTGGTGGGATACTTTAGCGTAGTATATGGGGGAAAGGGAATCCAAGCAACTTTTTCAAAAAGAGCAGTCCAGCATAGCTTAAGTACATAGTTAGCCACATTCAAAACCTGACACGTAACAAGGCTGCTAAGACGCAGTAACTACAGCCTTATTTTAAAAATAGTAGTAATAATGATGTATTTAAACAGAACTTCTGACGACCTGGTAAAAGGCCATTTAAGAAAAACAACGTCTTAGCAACAGAATTCTGGAGAACTGTTTCGGAGCATCTGACAAGCGTCACTCTGTCAACCGCAATGTGAAGCGCGAACCGGTGCGGTGCAGTGCAGTTTTCCCTCCCCACAGCCGGCTCTATCGCGATACGCGCCACGCAGAATTTCAGAGCGCGCTACGACAGCGACGCGTTTTCTCCGGGAAGCTTTCCTCAGCCCCCGCAGCCATACCGCAGCGCGGGCCGGGCAGCGGCCGCTGCCTCCCAGGGCGCCTGAGCGGCGACGGCATCGCGGCTCCGCAGCGCCGGGAGGGGGACCGAGGAGAGAGCCGACCCCCGCGCACCGGGCGCTCCGCCGCTACCCCTCGCGGCAGCACCGCGAGAAGAG